ACACACACACACACACACACACACACACACACACACACACACACACAAATCCACAGAGATGAGAGTAAAGCCAGCAGAGCTATTTTTGGAAGGAGCGGTTAGTGCTTCAGGGTGCTTCTATAAAGCCTGGATACAAACTCCGGTCCGGTCATACTCAACTGAGCGAACGAGCCTTCTCTCTGTTTCACTCTACATGTCAACTTTACAACTCAAGTATCCAAGGTAAGAGTGCTTCTTCTTTTGTTGTTTATTATCAGCTACTCTTTATTATACAGCTTACAATTTAGCAATTTCTACAAGTCGATTTTAAAGAAATTGTAGCATATTTTACTTGTTACAAACCAGATAGAAGATAAGAAACACACATTATGAAATTGAAATTGTAATTCACAGTATCAAACAAGGAAAGAAGGGTATGTATAGTTATTAGTTTATCTGTTATAATGCAAGAATTAAAAAGCTAAATGCTAAAAGACAGCAAACGCAGTTACTGTGAAGAATTTTAGCAGCAAAGGGACAGACCCTAATTAAAAACAGAAAATTAAAATCACCATTAAGATTAGTTTTTTAGTAAATAGTTTAATTTATTTTATGTCATTGAAGTCTAGACAAAGAGCCACAGTCTAACATTTTATTTTTCCTCTTTTTCTCTCTCCAGCATGAAACGCAGGCGGTTGTTGCTTTCCCTGCCTCACTTACCCACCATTACTGAGACGCTTGAGGACTTGCCTGTCCACCCCTCATCCACTCAATCTTCCCAGATCGCCCAGTCTCTAGAGGACTACATGACTAGTATTCAGGCCCTTGCACGCCCTGCGGAGGCACTGAGCGGCGGCCTCGTCAGACTCCAGAAGTCCCCCAAGCTACGGCAGTTCTCAAAGGCTCAAATGAAGCTTTCTGTCTCAGCCTCACCTCCTCGCGGCTCTTCCCGCACACTAAGGACTTCCAGACATTACAGTCTGAGTCTAAACAGCCCAGAGGATTTTTCTCTTAAGATGGGCAGAGAAAAAGACTGCAGGGTCATGGACCCTGTAGACTGGCTGTTTGGACAGATAAGGACTTGAAGAGAGACGTTGTTGTGGGATGCCCTGAAAGGCACTTTGGTGGAATATCTCATAATCCAAAAAGGTTCGAAGAATCGGCTTTATTTATGAAGATTAAAAACAATGCACTGAATGATGAGACTCATTATGAAGGCTGGACAAAGACCAAAACACCAAAGAAAAGTGAAGATCTATTTATTTCTACCGAGGACTCAAGTCTACATGTTTACGTTGTGAATTTTGTAAAGACGTAAATGATATACTTTCTAATAAAATACTAAAATAATCATGAATATTCTCTGTTCTTTCTGAAGTTATTACAAAGAGCTGAATGATTTAAAATCAAAACAGTTTCAGTTCCAGCTTTAAAAGCTTGTAAGAATTGTCTTTGTTTTCTGCTGTTTTCTGCCATGAACTGGAGTTTTGGACTGTTGGTCAAACAAAACAAAACATTTGAAGACATCCGCTTGGAGACAGTTTTATGACTTTTTGACATTTTAGAGGCTAAATAACTAATTGAAAAAATAATTACCAGATTAAATAATAATGAAAATAGTCGTTAAAATGCTGCTGCCAGGGTTGCATCCATTTAAAAGACTGTGAGAGATCGTATCTTTGGGCCAGTAGTGGAATTCAAATAAGTCTTACTCGTATACTGTACTCAAGCACAATTTAGACATAGGCTACGTGAGTTTTCATTTTTTACTACTAGTACTTTGACTTTACGTCATTTCAGAGGAAAACATTATACTTTTTATTCCTTGACTGTTTAAATCTCTAGTTAATTTTCAGACCAAATCTTAAATACAAACAATGTTATTACAAAGTGAAAGTAATGAAGTATCTATTCAAGTACTGCAAGTATTATGCAAGGTACTTTACTTTAGTATTTATGGTTTTTGCTACTTTATACATCTACTTAATGACATTTCAGAGGTAAACATTGCACTTTTTACTCCACTACATTTATTTACTTTAGTTAGTTACTTTACAGGCTAATTATCAAATACATCATGATATATTATTTTAGGATAAGATAATACTGATCCCCTGGGGGACATTCACAGCTACCCAGCAGTATTATTAAAATTAGCCCCACCTTTACCAGCTGCAACATTCAAGTAATGTACATATTTTAATGCAACAATTATAATCCAATAATATTATATATATTATTCTGAGACGGGCCATTCTGCATGTTAAGTGCTTCCATTTTTCTTACTTTATGTATATTAAAGTACGAAATATATTATGTATGATGCTAGTACTTGTGTACCTTTATTTAAAGGAATCAGTGGCAGCATCATCAACAGACTCCAACTGGTCCAGATTGCATCTGTCAAACCTTTAACCCATATCAACCTAAGCACCACATCACCACAGTCTTAAAAGACCTCCACTGGCTTCCTCTCTCCCACCGGTTCAACTACATAATCCTGGTCTTCACCTAGACAGCCAAACACCAACTTTACTGTGCTGTTGCTACTTTGACTACGACTTGTTATTACTAGAGAAGCACCTCAACATACTTGATACAGCCACTATACACTGCATACACATGATTAATATTTGGCTTAGCAGACAAGTACAAGCAGGTACATTCAGCCCCTCCAGTGAAATGTTTAGCAAGACATTTCCCCACTGTGGGATTAATAAAGGATAATCTTATTTTATCGTATTAATATAACACTCACAGGGGCCATTTTAATGAGCACTTAGAATACTTTCATACTTAATAGAGATTATAAATGTAACTTGTAAATGGCATATTACTTTAACTTCAGTAAAGGATCTGAATCCTTCTGTTAAACACTTCAATAGACCAACTACATCTTTTTTTTTGCAGTGAGCCTCAAATCTAGACAATCGTATCCCACACTGTCATCTAGTGGTAATCAGTGGTGCTACAGCGGTGGCATTGTAAACTAAAAAATACCCGATACAGCCACTATGCGCTGCATACACATGATTCATATTTGGCTTAACACAGCAGACAAGCACAGGCAGATACATTCAGCCCCTCCTGTGAAAAACAGTGAACCAATATCAGCCACAGCAAGGCTGCTGCTGAGCCTTGAAGGAGAAAATACCTCAAGCAATCAGCATCATCTACATGTTTACAACTAATAGTTGTACTTGGCATTCATGTTAGAGCTTGTTTTCCGGTTTGGCTTCCAAGTCAAACCACATGACATTTCCAGCCACAACATGACTAACACGCATCACCTGACCACACCTGCAGAGCGTGATCATGGTACAATCTTAGAATCACACTTTCAAATCGACTTCTTTTTTCACACAGGACCTGTTTCCATCAGCCTGGATAATCAATATAAATTACAACAACAAACATTCGGACATGCCAGGTATAGATGATGACAGTACAAGTCTGTCTGGGAGCTATGGTGCACGTCTACAGCTGGTTTTCATCTAAACTCATTCAACAGAGTCACTGTATTTTCTGGAAGGTAACATTAGGAGTTTCCAAAAGTTGGTCTTAACCCAAGAATGTTACTGCTGAGTAATGTCCCTCATTCCCCCAAAATATCTAATGAGTAAGTCGTGAGTAAGCTTTGGCCTCGCTCCATCATCTTTAATGATGTCACTATATCACGGAAAGCATAACCTATTACTGCACAACAATAGGCACTTTCATTTATGATCATGTGTCATAGTGTGTACACCATTACAGCTATCACCATGCTATCACAATGTATTTTGTACCCTAACAATACAGTAACAAACAAGTTCATTTGATGACTGTTTTGAAGCTTTTGACTGTAGAACTTGATCTTCCTCAGCAGATGCTGTTTTCCCAGTTGTCAAGCGACGGTTTTCTTAGCACTTTAAGGACACCTCATCCATGTTAGATTAAAATTAAAATCTTTGACATTGGAGAAAACATTCAAAACACCAATCTCACCACAGCGTCCATTTTGCAGCTGTTCTGGAGCTTTGGATTATATCACATACGATGAACATTTTCGATCAACAGCTTCTGAGTAAACTTGTGGCTAGATTGATTTGTCAGCTGCAGTTATGAACTTTCAATCAAAATTTCTGTGATTTCAAATTGTAATTCTAGCTTTCATGTCTTAGTTTTATTTCTCATTGTATTTATTTGCGTAAAGATTCAATCATGAGTCAAAATGTGTAACTCTTGCCACTAAAACAACAAAAGCTGATTCTATGTTCTATGTTCCTATAAATTATTACGTTGTATAAGAGAAACAGAGATAAGTAGTGCATTTATTTAATGCCTCTTACAAAGAGTAAACTTACACCGAAGAGATCAAACAGGGGAAGGTTATACTTGTTTAGTCATCAGGATCCTATTTTATATTATAATATCAGGATCATATTATGTTGGTATGGCTTTATGCGAAAATCCAAATGGACTTCTCTAGAGCCAGTGTTCAGTGGTGTGTTTGTTCTAGGCTACTGTAGAAACATGGAGGCCTCAGAGCAGAGGACCTGCTCCAGATGTAGAGATAAATGTCTCATTCTAAGCTAACGAAAACACAACAATTCAACACCAAAGAAAACGTATTATTATTATTATATTCTATTTATGCCAATAGATCCCCCTAAATGCTTTAACTTTGGGCAACATTATCAAAACAACGTAGCTAAAAGGCTCCTATGATACAGATATATTTCCATAACATTAATTACCAATAAAATGAATATATTGTTCTTGACAAAGGAGCTGATGCATCATATAAAGTTAGCTTATATCAGTGAGTCCTTGTCGGTTCTGGATAAAACCCTAAACTCCTTTTTTGTCTGTTTTCCATATTTCTCACCAAACTGGAGCCTTGGTCAGTCTGCGTTATAACAGAAAGCAACATCATTGGTTGTCACTGCAGCAGTCTGTTTTTACAGCTACCACACTTGAGAAATATACTGTATAATATATTTAGTTTATTCTATTTAGCTATTAGTGAAGCAACACGTTCTGGTAGAAAAACTGACTTGCAAGGTAAAAGATGAGACATTCTTTCAATTCCACAATAAAGCTTAAAATGACTCATTACAAGTGTAAGCGGTGTAATGCAATGTGTTGAGTCATTCTCAATAATGAGTCCTGTTTCTCATCAAATCAATCAATCAATTTTGAGTAAAAACTACGACATTTGGTCATATTATGAGATCACTGCTCCTTCTATTTTACATGTGTATGTTGCATGTACATATGTTATGTCTGTGGCTTCGGGGGGATTTCCCCAGAATGAGACAATAGTGAGTCTAACTGGTGGGATAAAAAAGAGGGCCGGATCATGACCACCCTGCCCTAAACCCCATACACACTCAAAAAAAATCTGGACACAAAGGGGAACTCCTGACCATAAAAGCCATAGCATAATTATCAAACAAATAACCAAACACAGCACAACAGCAAAACGTTTACTGTGGAAATACTTTGCTAAGCAGTTAGTATATAACTGAAATCTGAGACTCCTTTACTTGCATTTTTATTTTGAGGTAAAGGGGATTTTTTGTGGTTTGCCAGCCGTTTGTCATGTTGGAATGGCAGGTTTGTGCTCAGAAGCTTATTTGGTCTCAGGTTTTCTGTCCTCATTATGTACTCATTATCAAATCAAAGTGGTGGTTTAACTGGTTCCAGTTTTGTATGTGTGTAACCCATTTTACAACAGTGTATGTCCTGTAATCCAAACACCCACACATACCATCGAGCAATCGTCAAACACTCCCTGTTTACCTTTTTTATTTCCGCCAGCACTGTCTCCTGTCAGGTGATCTGTCTGAGTTTTTCTTACCTCGCGAGTCCTCAGCTGGAAGTTTTTCCCTTCGTGGTAACAGTTGTAGGTCCTAAGCAGTGACAAGATGGCAGACCTGAATATGAACACAAGACCCCAAAGGGTATTAACACGCATAGCTCTCACGCAATGGTGACATTTAATACATCGACATTGTTATTTCACTTGATTGAATGCGACTACTGTGTAGTGAGTGAAATGTAAGGACTTACTTTGGTATAAGTTTCTCTTCACTGAGCTTCACGTAGGTCTGACACTCACCCATTCTGTCTAGAGCTCAGCTGTGGCAGAAAAACACAACAAAACAACATAAGTAATTAAATAAAGATTGTATTATGTCTGTAACACTGTGTACAATCATAATAACTGAGTGCAATAGCTAAATTATGATGAGCATGTACAGAAAATATGACCATGTGCTTATAACAAGATGATGGCCAAACACATAGAAATATATATATTTATAAAATTAATATAAAATATGAACATTAGTGTAATGTGTTGTCGTGTTTCACTGTTGATCCACTTTGAGGTTTGGAAAGAATGTTTTAAATCAAACGCTTTTAAACAAATAGCTCCGGTGGTAAAAGCAGTGACTTCGCAGAAATCACATGGTGTGGTTGACACAGAGCCAACGGAGGAACATGTTGTGGCAAAGCTCAATAAAGCCTGTAAAACACTGTGTCTTCTGTCTCTTTCAAGGATAATGCCTGCTATTGTGGCAAGTTTCTAATAAACAGTTAGCATCATAATAATGATAAAAAAAAAACACTACCAGTCTTCTCTGTTGCACAGTTTCTAAAGAACACAACCAATCTGCAACACCGGTGTCTTTGTTGTCCATTAAATTTAGTTCACAGTAAAAAACAAAAGGACACTTATTAATTACTGTGTCCTTCGGAATGTCAAGTCTTCTCTGACAAGACAGAGGAATGGTGGCCCTGATTCCTGTGTCCATGTATTTGAAAGGGAAAGTGCCATGGGGAATTTCCTGATTTGGAAAGCCCAGCTCAGAGTATGCGGGGGGAGGAGCAAGAGTATAAAACGGCAACATGTGGCTCAGAGGCTCAGTGTCAAAACTCAGCTCGTCTCCAGAATGAAGCTTTGTCCTCAGTCAGTCCGTAGGCTCGCCTTCTTAAGTCTCTGCTTTGTACTGATCACAGGTAGGAATCATCTATGCTTATTCTTTCATAAAATCTGGATAAAGTAAAAGTGGGGATTATTGTTTTATTGGGGTAAAGCTGTCTGAGCATGCTAACTTGCTGTAACCTAATCTCTGCTCATGTTTTACTGCATGGAATTAACTTGTAATCTTGTTACTGTGTCTGTGCAGTGAGAAAGTCACACAGCACATTCGTCCCGGGAAGATGTTTGTGTCCACGCATGCAACCAGGAGTCAGAGGGCAACTGAAGGAGCTCACAGTCTACCCCAAAAGCCCCAGCTGTGACAGAGTCACAGTAATGTGAGTTTCAGATCCTGCAGAGACACGCATGCATGTATGCACACACACACGTCCAGATGAGTAAATGTGAGGGTTTGTTTTCAGAGTGACACTGAAGAGTACCAATGATCCAGTGTGTCTGAATCCAGAGGCGCTGTTTGGCAAACAACTGATTCACTGCTGGAATAGGTGAGAGCCTTGATCAGTGACTTCTAGTTACCTCTAGTAACCAACTGTGCCTCTGTAAGGTTTTTAAAAAGGGATACTACAGCTTTGTCAACCCTCATAGTATCATGTAATCCTTCAATTTAGGTTAATTTGCACATGAAAACAGCAATATGCAATGTATCTAATATACAACAGATTGCATAATATTTTAGCCCTGCATCCCAACTGGTTATAGACGGGTTCCACCCATCTTCATATTTCCCGTAAATCCCCGCGAACAGTATCTTATTTGTTGCCAAGCCAGTTGTTGTAGTAACAAAGCACCTAGCTGAGCAGTTTTTTGTCTTTCCCTCCATTATTTGCAATATATTCATGCTTTCCCTTCTCAGTGTAAATGATGGATTCTTCCTTAATAAAAGCTGTTCATGTCACAAGAAATATTGTATCCAAATATTTGACTTGTCTGATACGTACAAGGAAGATCAATTCACAGCCCTTCCTCCAGGCTTAAGTCTATGCTTCTGTGTGTGTTTTCTAGAGCTCACAAGTTGGGTCGTGATGTGACACTTTGCCTGAAGAGGAGGAGGCGGGGGAGAGGTCGTCAGCGCCAGCGCTCTCAACAGAGGAGCCGGGGCCTCAACAGAAAAGCCTCATCCTCTAATTCCCAATAGTCAACCAGCCTGACAAATGACACAAAGCTACTGCACGGAGAGAAGCGTGTACATGCTGTTTTTTGCCACACTAAAAACGTCACACAGCTCAGACATCAAGATCCCCTAAACTGTTGTCTGAGCTGTAAATCAAACTTTCTTTGTAGGCCAGTAGCAGAGAGCTTTACTTTATCTGTGCAAATGACTGATGTTATGTTGAAAACTGAGCCCTGGAGGCTTGTCAAAAATGTTAACAGTTTTAGCTTTAAAACACTGTTAAATGGTCCATGTACTGTTTATATGTGATTCTGTGCATGCAGCTGGAAAAGCTAACTGGAACGACTTAGTTGGTTATTTATTTTTATATCAATATGAGCATTTTTCAAACATTGTGTTTTTTTTATAAATAAATATATCAGCAAAAACACTGTGACCTTGTGTGCTATTTATTGTTGAAACTCCTGATTATCTTGAGAGCGGAATGATGGTAAAGACAATTACTTCCTTGCCAGGATATGAGAGGTCACCCACAGTCTTTAGTTAATAAACTACAGGATGTGAGTCAGTGGCAGGCACAAAGCAAACATGTCTTACTTAAAACATCTGCACAAACAACAGGAGCTGACTGTGTGCTGTATTGTAATGCAACAGTATAAATATAGATTTCCATGGCACTCTCCTGTGAATAAGAGCATGTTTGGAAAATATCACACCATTGTTTTTTCACAGATTATACTGGACTACTGCTGTTGTTGCACAACTAAGACATCCAGGTGATCGGGGCGTGACAAGAGAGCATGCACGCACACACACACACACACACACAAACACACACACACGCACACAATATGTTTGCCTACTGTTGCTTTGCGCCCACATCAATCTGGGTAATGCAAAGTGAATAACTAGGCATGTGCTAACCTGATTTATCTCCCAGCTAAAACACCTCCTGGCATTGATATGAGCTCTTGCATATCTGATATGTGATCCTGTTATACCTTAATGTTTGACAGCACAAGGGGTGTAAACTGGAAAGCGAAAGTAAACTGCTGAACAAGGTGGCCTTTGTTCCAGGCCGAGCAGGGTCATTTAAGGAACTTTTCATATCTCATACGTTATCGATGAATACAATTCAAGCAGCTGCCTTTAAAGTCAGATATTAATCGGAGACGGAGTTAGAGAGAATACTGATTGAGAGGACAGCTGTGAAGATAACAGTCTTGTTACTGGGTGGCAAGTGGCCGACAGAAGCCCCCTTCAAATCCAAAGTACTTTATAATCTATACAGAAATTGTATCTTTTACACCACTGTGTTTGTGTGACAGCTGTAGTTACTGCAGATTGAGATGTAAAAGACCAAGTCTAGTCCATCAGTTTATTACATTTGCTGCATAGTTTTATAAAAAGCTACAGTATATCAACTACTAAAAATAATCTCAACCAAATACAACATTCAAATTCTGCTTAATGCATCAGTAATAATAGTCATAGTAATAATACAACTACAAAAATTATACAAATACTAAAATACACTAAACACTGATAGAGGCTATTCTGACGAATGCTTAAACTTCTGATACTTTTAAGTACATTGTGCTGATGATACCTCTGTACTTTTACTCAAGTATAATTTAGGATTCAGGACTTGAACTTGAAAGTTTTGCACTGTTGTATTGCTACTTCTATTTAAGTAAACGATCTTACTACTTCTTCCACCACTGTTAAAATCCCATTCAAAATGTACACATCAGTTTTTTATTATTATTACACAACACTGCTTTGATGAACAACACATCCCAGACCTTAACATTAGCCACCAGCTAAGAACGAGTGTTGACCAAACGTATTAACACCTTCAAAGCAGATTTGCGTAACAACAACAACAACACACACACACACACACACACACACACACACACACATCTTCCTGTAATGACCACATGATTGAAAGTGCAACCCATTAAACACGCAGTTGCAAATGATTGATTACCAATTTTTATGATCACATGTCTTAGTTAAAATAACAGATCTTCTATCTTTTCTAACTATAACTTTGCTGTTTGCTACAAGTTGACACTAACAGTTTATATTTCAACACATGATTCTAATGCACGGTATCTAAAATACCTATCACTGTCCACAATCATGACGCTGGTGCCACCTAGTGTCTAAAGCGTTGTGTAAACTAAACTTCCTCATGCATAGCTCCATCTTGCTCAGTGACGATAATGTTCAGTCTGACTTGGATTGTGATCTCTGACACCACCTGCAGGAACATAGCCAGCAGGATAGGGGACAGATGCACTTTGATTCACTTTTTATGTAGTATTTAAAGTGCTACTGGCTGAGTAATTGGTTGGGACTCTCAATGTTTCTGAGCCTTTTAGTAACAGAGCATAATTTGGTCACATGAGTCCAGATGAGTAAAGAAGGGAGCCTAATCAGTTAAAGTACTGATGTGTTACTTATTTTGTAATGCAGTTCCACGTTGATATACTTCATTGTGATATATGACTGACCCATTCATAATCAATTTAACCTGGTTGGTTCATCATACCCTTGTTTATAATTTGTTTGTAATCGTATCGACTGTCTCACTGAGCGTTCTGCTGTTGTTATTATTGCCATGCTTTTGCTGCTTTGTCTGTCAAAGCACTTTGTAAACTCTGTTTTTAAAGGTGCTATATAAATAAAGTTATTATTATTGTTATCGTTATTAGTGGTAAAGAAAATGAGAGAAGATATTTTGAGCTCTGGTACACAGGAATTGATCCTTTTGCATTTCCTGCAGCTGAGACAGACGTTTCTTTGGAAATAAAAAATAGACAGAAAAAAAAACGCTTGCATGTGCAACGATAGTCACCACAAAAACCAGGAAACAGACCAGTACTGCCCACAGCACTGTCTGACTGGGAAGTGATCCCTAAGAGGAGAGGTGCAGATTCAGCTAAACAATGAACACTGAGCACGAAAGAGGTAATCTTTCAGATTTCTGTCACAATGCTGATCCTCTTATTATCTTTATACAGCTGAAGATTCAAATCCAAAATCCTCTGATCGACTTGATCATAATCTTCATGAAAATCCCTAAAAATATGTTAATTTCAGATGCATTAGCAACAATACTGAGCCCTCCCCTCCCTTTAATGACCCCTGCCCACCTACACTTTTTATCCAAGGAAACTGCTGACAAAGAAGGTGCATGGGACGGTCAGTGTATCCCTTATACATATTTATAGTAATGGGTGTATGAATATTCCATCACTTAAATGATTCCAGTCTGTCACCATTATTATGAATTATTCAGACACTGCACAGGAGATGAACCAAGAGGTCACACTATTGGGTGATGCTAAGATTCGAGTGAATTTACATAATCAGTCTCTTGTCTTCTCTTTTTCTTCTTCTTCTTTTGTGACTAAATTACGAATTGCCTCTGTGTGAAAGCTCCCTCGATGGACAAAGAACCTTTATTGCAAGTCTGCTAATTGCTTTGATCATCGCGAGATTCGTATCCAATTATCGCACCTACTGTGGTAGCTGCGCAATCCCATTCCCACGCGTAAAATAATGTCCAAGACAGCTCCAAATAATGCACATACAAAACCTTTTCACAAACGTATATTAGAGACAAACACTTACATTTAATCACTTGCTGAAGATGTGTCTATTTCTTTTGCAGCTATCACTGTGAAGAACGTAGTTTTGTATCTGCAGATTTAAGTTGACGAAGAGTAAAGTTTTACATACCGGTCACATTCCAAAATGCAAAACAAAAAACATAATTTACACCGTTAGTGGCTGCATACAACTTCATAACATCCCTGGTCCTAAGGGCATTATGTTGTTGTCATGGTTAAACAGCATAATCGCATCGATGTCTTCCTTCCTGATCATTTTGTGTAGTAGGCTAATAACCTACTCTAAATCTAATCAGTTTGGTTTCTTACCATAGCAGACCTCCGTATTCTTCCTTATATCCAACATCGAAGTATCCCGCGCCGTTGTTGGTTACCAGTCTTCATGCCCCTCTTGGCATACGGTATTCCGAGCTGGAAGATAAAACTGACAACAGGATGCTCCAATAGAAGGCCATGTTCATACGCTTTAACCAATCAACGTTGAGGGTGGGCGGGGCGGACATGCATACCTCTCTCCGCTTGCTTTGCTGCAGCCTCATCTATCCGAGCCATCAGTTTAACCTTTGTCTTTTAACTTAAGTTGTTGGTTTGACATTTAAACTGCTTGAACACTCTGGTTAAAGTTAGCATTTGAATGTGTTCATTAACGTGTTTTATACTAAATATGTTCATTTGATAAAATGGATATTTTGCATCATGGAAACGCATTTCCTTCCTGTGCATTGTTGACCACTCTGAGTACAGAAACAACGTTTTGAATGGGCACCCATGCATTGAAACATAATTTGTGTTATTGGACAATATATGTAAACGTGTGAAGGTGAAGATCCAGCTAATTTAGATTAATGATTGAAGTTATATCATTATTAATGATTGAAGTTATATCAACTTCTGGTGTTACATGTTTTTTTATATAGTTTGTGAAGTATTTTCCCCTTTTTTGTTTTTTACGGTGTGTTGTGTTTATGTTGTTTGACAGAATCAAATCAACGCAATTTTATAAACAAACAGTACAAAGAACCAATTATCATAATTATTTTTGTCTGCTTTTACATAAGACAACCTCATTCTTTCCGCACAGCCACCATTAAAGCACCTATCCTGTTATTTTCCAGCTCAGCAGTAAAGGAAGAAGTCCTTGTGACCTGTTAAGATTTATTCCCCGCATCCTGTTTTTGAGCCTGGATCTGCCATCTAGGAAACTTTTGTAGGGTGGAAACAAAAACTGTAGGAAGTCTCTCTGTCTGAATAGGATTTATGATTTAACATGCACAGAGGAAGTAAGTTGTTCCTGCAGCTGTATAACTTCCCCCAGAACAGCTCATTCTAAAGGATATGACAAAGTTGGTTGAAATAGACTGGAAATGCTGATGTTCTTTTCCTCTCCATTACTGGGTCACTCCGTTTCTAATTGACCAGAGATCATTGTGAAGATTATAATACAACCCTGATTATCAGCCTCAGTGAACTCTGGACAAAGACTCCTTGTTCTCCCCATACAACATCTCATCCCTCCTGACTGGATTCACATGTCATGGTTTTTATACATTGTGCAAAAACATGTTTAAAAGGTTGGAAGAATGCCTGACACTGTGTAGAGGCTGGAGATGTAATTTGCATCAAATATGAAGAATAAGCTAGTTGTTTAAACTGCAGGCTATTTTTGTGTCAGCGTGTTTTCACGTGTCTGCTGTTTGGCTCCAGTTCTCAGTGAGCTGCTTATTGATAATGGGGCTCTCTGCTGTTATTGATTCTCTCCTTAGCTTTGATGCTGCAGATATATTGCATCTTATGCCTACATACAGTTATACTGTATATCTACAATTCAGGGAACAAAGAACTGAGGAATACAGTGTGTGTGTGTGTGTGTGTGTGTGTGTGTGTGTGTGTGTGTATGTGTGTGTGTGTGTTGACAGAACAAAACAGTATTGATTTATGACCTGAACAAAAGAGGAATGTCTGTATGGTGAATTGTATCATTTGTAGCGTGATAGAACAAAAGAAAAACAAATCTAATGTTAATACAAGCTTTTCATATACCCACTTTTGTATCACAGATATGCTAATTTCAGGGTGATTTATAGAGCTTGGGTCTGATTCACACACCATATTAATATTATCAATGCGCAGCATATGACACATTATGAATGCATGTATAATACTTAGTAATATTGGTTTGGTTTGGTGGCGCTCTGGTGGGTGATCTGATGTTTTTCTCATCACCATAATAACGTGAGCGCTCCTCCCAGAGCTCCGTCTCCATGGTCACCGCTTGCACATGACAAACACACAATGAGGAGGCTTGAATGTGACTAACACATCATGCACCTGCACAAGCTCTCATGCCTGCAGTCACAGTCATACACATTTTCTCGACGGTGAATGAAAGAAACAGTTGATCTAATTTATTACCTCATGAATTGTGCATATTGTGCATTAACTGGATTGGATTGCTCGGCATTAACGTCTGCACTTCAAATCAATGCTGGCTTTGCAAAAATCTGACTTAAAGTCAACCACTTGCTCATGTAGGTACAAATAGTTTAATTTCTTTGAATGTATACATCTGAGGATCAAATTATTGTTAAAAACACACACAAAAAAATCATTTTGTACAAGTACACAGATCTTTTTGAAGTATAAAAATGAAATCAGTTGAACACTTAATAAAATTAATCTACATATCTATTTAAAATATAGAGTACATTATTACTGAACACTCAAAAATGCTCAAATGTCTTATTATGGCTGTTTGGACATTTGATAATATTATTTTCAGATAAACATCTGCCACATTGTAGCACCAGCTAGTTGCACTCAGTCAGTATGAATACATTACACATGCTTTCCTTTGTGTGATATCAGTAAGGAGCTCAGTCTGAGCGCAGAGGGACGTTCAGTCAGTAATCATAGGCGCAGTGTCTGAGGTGGTGTCTGGCTCTGGCTCACAGTAGTAACTGTCCATCTCCTCCATCTCTCTCTCCACAGGCTCCTCCCTACCTCTCAAGCAGATCAGTCTCCTCTCTTTCCAGCTCCTCCTCTCCCTGTCTGTGCCTTTAGGTGCTGTTGTCTGCTCCAGCTCCAGCATGGCCTGGACGCTCTCTCCTCTCTCTCCCGTACCGAGGCAGCGGTCTCTGGTTGCGAGAGCCAGTACTCCCCCTCTCCTTCCTGTCACCACGTGGAGGAACGAGACAGTGCTGTTTGAGGCTGCCCCTTCTGTCACACAGACAGTGGTTGGGCCTTGGTCGCTGTGGCTCTCTTGTGGTCTTTTGGGAGATTTGATCTTTGTTTTCTTGCTTAGTATGAAGTTAAAAAAGGCTGTCACCAGAAGCATTGTCCCTGCAATCACAAAATATATTCTATTTCTTTCACTGGAGACTCGTTGACATGTTACAGTAGCAACCACGCTGATGTAAATAATGAAATTAATGATGGTTGAATTTCATTTAGCTGCTTCCGTTTCATTGTGCATGCTGGCTCAGTGTCACACCTCACTGGGACACTTAAAAAGAGAGGTGCCATTGTTAATGTTGTTAACATGCACCTGTGCGTTTCCCACTGAGTGAAGTCGATACGTCTGCTGCTGATACTAATTTTCAGTGTTAGCATACTTGCCAGTGTTTTTTACCTGGGATGATTGCATGCCACACCAACACAGGGTGCAAGAAGCAGACCACTGACATTGTGGAGTAATAGAGGAATTTATGAAAGCCTCCAATGCGAGCCATCTTCCCCCACAACACAAACAGATGCCAGTCTGGAGGACAGCTAGAGAAAGATAAGGAGAAAAGAAGGACTGAAGCAGTGAAAAGGACTGGAAGTCACATTCTTACAATTTTAGATTCTTTTGACAGTGAATGAATACTGACATGGCAGACATCATATCAGACTAAAGATGAGAATCCATCTTCAGATTTATTTTTGGACCTGCTTTGCACAGTTCATAGGTGGTTAAAAGACCTAATAGAATTATAGCATGAATACACAGAGGTTTTCCCTTGTTGTATTCATGCTAAAGTATCCATGCAAAACAATTGAGTATTGTGTGTAGACTACTCACGGCAGACACATGAACAGAAGTGTGTCCAGGAAATAGGCCAGCTCAAACATCATGATGCCAACAGATGAAACTCTGGGAGGAGCATAGAATAGAGCCAGATGAAAAGCAGTTTGCTGCTGCAGTATTCCCTGTTTTCTATTTCATGTTTTAATAGTCTGATAACCATCTTATTCAGTGAACCGGAAAAATGCCCTCTCTCTGAAGAGTTGTCGCTTAGTTGTGTGTTTGTGTGTGTGTGTGTGTGTGTGTGTGTGTGTGTGTGTGTTTGAATGCAGTGTTCATCTGAACAATCAGTCATGCATTTCTGTTCTCCTTCGGGAGATGTTTTCCTGCGACTCTGTGGGAGTTTGGCTGTGAGCCACAAAGATAATGCAAAGTACTGAAGGACTGGTCTCCATTCTGCCCTCTACACCTCGCTTCATCCCTCTGACTCCTTCCCAACATCTCCTCGCAAGTGTGTGTATGTATGAGTGATTATGACGGCAGGTACAGTATTGTAATTGTTTTCTACAAGCCCTCAGGCCACATATTCTTTGTCATATTAAAATCCAGGCGGCGTAATGTGTACTCAGGAATGCCACCAGTCAAGAGTGCTCTTAAATTCATGCAGCATATTACAAGATGGACAACAAAATCTGAACACTTACACTAGGTAGACGCCAAGGCTACTGAATTCTCCCTGTGTCAGGGTCTCCACTCCCACAGCACACAGCACTGAAAAAGAGACAGGAAGATAATTTCATTTTTTTTTTTTGAGAGTTACTGGTGCAGATTCTGTCCACCAGATGTCAGACTTAGTTCATGATTTTCTCGTTGGTTGCAGGAAGGGTTGCTGTAGTGGGTCAACTTGACTAAACTTGGGTTATTAAATATTAACATTTCCACTGTGATGCAACAATATGCTGCTTTTACTGTTCTTTGGCATATTTTATGCATCTTTCTCATTTTGCTGTGAAGGTAGGCTTTACTGTATTGTTAGCTGTGTTGTTTGAGGCAGTTGTTAGAAACTAATTGAAGTTCTTGAAAAATATTTCTCCCTTCATTGAGCAATAAACATTGACCTGAGTTGCTTCAATTTGAGCACATAGTTTACACCCCTAGAGGTAGTATTGAACTATTGATCTATGTCATGTAAAGATAATTATAGAACATTTAATACTGGTAATTGTTGTAATTGTTTCCATCATGGTCACAAAATTCTGGTAATGGCTTACTCATGGTTGTAATTACCATATCACTACCAGCGGACACTTATTACATCACAGATCCTCTACCAGAGCAGAACCATGACATTTGCCACTTGTAGGTGAAGTGGTCATTAGAGGTCATGGTTTGTTGAAAGTCCTTCCTCTACATTTTGGGCTTATGAGTAATGAGTACTGATCCAGAACAGTATTACTTCTATTCTCCTAACTTCTCTGTGTGAAAGTACAAACGTATTGTAAAAAGGGGTACTGGGCTGCAACTGGATTTTGATGATTTATTCCTCTGCAAGATCAACATTGCTGCAGTGACCTGAA